CCTGCCACTCCCCCAGACCGCACAACGGAGGCCGGAAATGCGTGGGGGAGGACTCCCAATTCCAGATGTGCAACACCAACGAGTGTGAGGATATTTACAGCGATCCAAGAGAAGAGCAGTGCCACGCTTGGGCCCTTCACTCTGAAATCTACACCAACAAGCACCACTGGCTGCCTTATGAACACCCAGACCGTGAGTATGCACGTGCAAACAATGTATTGGGGTGGAGATATGAACCAGACAAACCTTAAGTGATGATATACTGTGGAAGTCATAAATATAAATGAAAGCCAACAACAGGAGGAAGCACAGTCTTGAATGTGGCTGGGTTGTGGAGCGTTTATATATATATATAGGTTGTGTTTTTCTATCATCAGTGACATCTGGCAGTGGGTGCAGCTTTGAAGTATGGCTACGCCCTCCCACAAAAAAAAGTAAAAAGCCACAACTTTAAAACCAAATTTCTATGAAGTCACTGTCTTCTTTTTCTCCACCCTTTTGCTGATGTCATTTAAACTCCTCCAACTTTTTCTGCATCCATACATTTGGCACATGTGGACAAACTCTCATATTCACAAAGAACCCAAACCTAAATTTATCCAATTAAAATTCCAAACCTTTGACACTACACTGTGTGAGTGTGAAGCTCCACCCTTGCCTCTGAGTTGAGATGTCACTGCCTTCCTGATACATATGAAATTATCGTCCAACTAAAGGGCAGCCCTCGAGAAAAGCGCTGAGCTGTCTCCTTATCTACACAGAGGTCACGCAACTCAAAGTCAGCTAAGAAGGCCTTGCTAAATTGTTTTTCTTCATTTTTATTATTTCCAAATGGCAGATTTTTCAGCAAAGCTTTTACCATCTCAAATTACCTTTCGATGTGTGCGCTTGTGTTTGCATGTGTGTTAATGTACACATGCTTCTATGAGAGAGGAAAAAAACTGAGGTTTAACTGAATTCAATTCATAGCTTGACATCTCCAGAAGTGTGTGTACTGTGACTCTGACAAAGTACAGTGTCTGCTCTGAATGTGAACGTCTAGTTTCTCTTCTATAGTTTATCAGTCTATATGCATAGAACCTCACCTATATTTATCTCTTGTGTTAACCCTCTGAGGTTTAAGTCATGATATGTGCTAACCATAACTCTAATCCTTGCAATGTCAAACTGAAAAAATACCCGAATCCAAAATATCTTTTGAAATGATCTAAAATATAACACTATATATAATTCAGAGTGTTTTTGCTTTTGCATGTATTATTGTACATGGTTGAACAGTATGTCTGAAGTTAGGATATGTTAGGATTAAAAACTGATGTTTAGTTTGAAGTTTGCACTTTTGACACAAGCTAAAATGGAGATTTAGCGAGGCCGCATCTTGCTGCTTCTGCAAGGGTTTAAAAAAAAGAGCTCAATGTGAAAGGGAAACTGCTGATTTATTGGTCCATCTATGCCAGAGTTGTCCAACATAAGAATCAGCCAGGCAAAGGCTCTAATCTGGTCGCCGGATGGCATTTAAAAATGTGAAGAAGGGCATAGATTTTGGACATTTACTACACCAACATTATTAAATAATAAATAAACAATTAAATGACAGATGTTTATTTGTTGTTGTTTTTGTTTTCTTCAAAAAAGACATTTTAGGTGAATAAACAAAAACCTGAGGTCTGAGCTACAGGAAGCTCCCAAAAAGTCCCAGTTTTTGTGCTGATGTTAATGCCTGAGGACATTTGGAGCTCTAAAGTTATTGAGTCAGCAAAGCGCTGGAGACCTTTACACACTAGGCGCTTCAGCACTTGCCGACCCGAGTCTGTGATTTTTTGTGGTCTGCCACTTTGTGGCTGAATTGCTGTCTTTCCTGAATACTTCTGCTTTGCAATAGAACCACTTAAAGTTGATTGTGGAAAATCTTTAAGGGAAGAAATTTCAAGAACTAAATTGTTGCAACGCTGGCGTCCTATTACAGTACCATCCTCAATACCATTGAGTTCATTACAACAACTGATTCTTTCTCAAATGTTTGTGAAGGTAGACTGCATAGTTATGGGCTTCATTTTATACTGCTGAAATGGCAAACGCCTGATTTCAAGGATTAAGAGGTGTGGGCCATTACATCAGTCTACATCAGGGGTCCCCGATCCCAGTCCACGAGGGCCGGTGTCCCTGCAGGTTTTAGATGTGTCCTTGATCCATCACAGCTGATTTAAATGGATAAATTACCTTCGCAACATGTCTTGAAGTTCTCCAGAGGACTGGTAATGAACTAATCATGTGATTCAGGTTTGTTGACCCTGGGTGAGATCTAAAACCTGCAGGGACACCGGCCCTCGCGGACTGGGATTGGGGACCCCTGGTCTACATACTGTATGTTCTTACCATCATCTATGGTAGGAGTAAGCAACTCCAGGCCTCGAGTGCCAGTGTCCTGCAGGTTTTAGATGTGTCCTTGATCAAACACAGCTGATTCAAATTGCTAAATTACCTCCTCAACATGTCTTGAAGTTCTCCAGAGGGCCGGTAATGAACTAATCATGTGATTCAGGTGTGTTGACCCAGGGTGATATCTAAAACCTGCAGGGACACCGGCACTCGAGGCCTGGAGTTGCCTACCCCTGATCTATGGCCGTGACCTGCTAGAAGTGAACAAAAGAGGGAGATTGTGGATACAAGCAGTGGAAATGAGCTTCCTGTGAAAGGCGACTGGGCTCACTCTTAGAGATGGGGCAAAGAGTTTGGTGCATAAATAGGGATTCAGTGTAAAGCCACCACTACTCATCCACATTCAAAGGAGGCAGTTGAAGTAGTTCAAGCATCTGACTGGGATACCTCCTAGGTGCGGTGTCGTGGGTATATCTAATTGGGAGCAGGCCCCACATATTGGACATATTATGTCTCTCAGCTGGCTCAGCGTCCCCCCAGAAGAAGTGAAGGGGGTAGCTGGGGAGACCTAGGTCTAGGCATGTCTGCTTAGACTGGTGATTCCTCAGATAAGAACCAGAAAATAGAGGTTATATATTTTGTTGTTTAGCCTTTGTAGTTCTTCTTCTCCACTGTAATGTGTGTGCATGTGTCAACTGCCACAGAGCAGCAAAAGACTTACAACACTGAGGAGGGATTTTGTACATTGTTTGTGCATTCTCAGTCCAACCTGACAAGATTGTGTTTTCTCCACGTGATCGAACTGAGCAGTTTTGTTGCATGTCTCCCACCTGATTATTAGTGTCAACGCTCCAAAAGACAAGGTCTCTGGATTGTAGCCATCTGTAATAAATGTGATGAAGTAGGAGTGTTCGTTCGCACTCGGACTATCTGCCAGGCTTCATCTCTGGGGGCTCATGCAGTTGTAGTATGACTCACTCAGACAGACACAATGAGACAAAGTGTCGTGCTGACTCACAGAGAGCTTATTCAGAGCATAAAAATAATCGCATGTCAGTTGTAAATATGAAATCTTCAAGTCAGACCACAGGGGTGACACTGTGACAATCACTTGGATAGTGGTTTTCATTCTCTATGTTCATTTTTGTCTGCTTTCCAGCTAGCAAACGCTGCTACCTGCATTGTCAGTCCAAGGAGACCAGAACCGCAGTCTTCACGGAGACAGTGGTCCTGGATGGTACGCGGTGCTCATACAAGGACCCACACAGTGTCTGCGTGGGTGCGGAGTGTAAGGTGAGGGGCATGCGCGTGGAAAGACAGCCGCACACGTGCTGAGATCAGCATGTGTCAAATTCCACGTTTCTTTATTAACAGAAAGTGGGATGTGACGGAGTGGTCGGCTCCTCGGAGCAGGAGGACAACTGTGGAGTGTGTGGAGGTGACAACTCCAGCTGCAAAATCTTCAAAGACACCATCTCACGTAACGCAAAGAAACAAGGTAACCCACTAACACACTGAATAACCCTTAATTCGTTTCATAGAGGAGACTTGACTCAGTAGCAGCCAGCTGTCATTCTGGTAAGCATAGTATAAACATTTGGCTGGTGTCTGTCATACTGGACTCTCTGTCTTTATTTTATTTTATCTTTTGGTTAAACATCGCCCTCTAGAGCAAGGTTTTAAAATTGCCGCAAACCTCAGTAAAAATCCAAGCTCACATGTTTCCATTTGAGCATTGCCAAGAAGTTACGTCAACAATCACTTCATAACCTAGTGTTTATGACAGTATTATCTAACCCTTGGTGTTGGGAGAGTTCCATGTTATAACAGCGAAATTCTCAGAATCAGATGTTTTCCCTGGATGAAAATAATCACGACTGAGTAGTGTGCAAGGGTATTTAATTGAAATTAGAAAGGGAGCTTTACTGGCTTTGGTGCAGTTCTTTGGTATGAAACAGTAAAATTGACTTTTTGGCACAAACCAGATGTCTGTTTTATTTCAGGGTTCTTTAAAGTTCTCGAAATCCCCCGAGGAACGAGGCACTTACTGATCCAAGAGCTAAAAGCCACCTCGCACACTCTAGGTATTTTAAATTCGAGTTTGTTTTTTCTTCCGTGCCAGATACTGGAATGTAGATTTGCTCATTGCAGTGTTGTCTATTTTTCTCCCATCTGCAGTGGTGAAAAATGTGGCATCAGGACAGTTCTTCATAAACGGGGACATGGAGAAGCCAGAATCCTACTCGGTCATAGAGAAGGGAGTGGAGTGGGAATATGAGAATGACAATGACAAGGAGACCCTTCAGTCAACCGGGCCTCTCAGACATGGAGTTCTGATCATGGTGTGCAACAACATGACTTTAAAATTGAATCTATAGTTACCTAAATTTCATAATAATCTCATAATATCACATTTTGTGGTTGAAATTATGCATCATCTTGATTCCTTCATTAATTTTATGATGATCTGTCGGATTTTAGATGAAATTACACGGGGATGAGGATGTGAATTTGTCGTACAAGTACTTGATGAGAACAGACTCTGACTCTGGAATTCAGAACAACATGCTAGTGGAGGACAGCGCTTATGAATGGGCCCCAAAGAAATGGTCTTACTGCTCCAAGCCTTGTGGTGGAGGTACAGTAGAACAAAGAAAATTCTCACGGTGAAACCGTTGTTTCTTTGACTTATATGATGTCCAATTTTCCACCCTTTTTTAGGAAAGCAGTACCTGCGATACGGCTGCAGAAGAAAAGTCGACAGCAAGATGGTTCATAAAAGGTTCTGTAACAAGTCCAACATGAAACCGAGAGGAGACATGAGGGACTGCAACCAGAAGGCCTGCCCTCCTCCCATGTATGTATTCACATGAGAAGCACAACATCTGTGAAAATATGACTTACAGTAGGAATCCACACTCGGATTAAAGCAACTTTTTCTGCATTCAGTTCGCCCTTTGTTCTCCTTTGTGGTTGATTTGTTTTGATGGCCCTCGATGCTCTTTCCTCTCTTTGCTGTTATATATTCTCCAGCTGGGTGACGGGCGAGTGGCAGAACTGCAGCAAGCCATGTGGAAAGACGGGCATGCAAGTCCGATCGGTGAGCTGCGTCCAGCTTTCGGATGACAACACAACGCGTGCTATCCACAACAAACACTGCAACGACAACCGTCCAGAGTCGCGCAGATCCTGCAACCGATTTCCCTGCCCCACCCAGTGGAGAGTTGGACCATGGTCACAGGTATGTGGGCTAAACTAGAGCCTTCAAGATGCTTGCACTTCATTCACATTTTGTAAGTAGTTTGTGGTGATTTTTTGCATTTTTTATTTTTTGTATCCCTAGTGCTCAGTGACATGTGGTAACGGAACCCAGCAGAGACAGGCTTTGTGTCACACCAGAGACAATACCATCGGCCTGTGTCTCGACAGTAAACCAGACACCATAAGAGTTTGTCGCCTGACACCATGTTCCAGTAAGTGTTGTGCGAGCCCCACCCTGTGAGTATTTTTTATAGGTTTAAAATGTCCAGGGTACTCACTTCATTGGGTACACCTTGCTAGAACTTGGTTTGAGCCCCTTTTGCTTTCAGAGCTGTCTTAGTTCTTCATAGCACAGATTCAGCAAGTTGCTGGAAACATTTCTCAGGGATTTTGGGCCATAATGACATGGCAGCATCACACAGTTCCATGATGTGATCTCCTCATTCCGCCACATCCCACAGGTGCTGTATTCGATTGATATCTGGTAACTGTGGAGAACTATTGAGCACAGTGTACTCATTAATATATCCAAGAAACCAGTTTGAGATTATTTTAGCTTTGTAATATGGCACGGTATTTTGCTGGAAGCAGCCATCAGAGAATGGGTACACTGCTGTCATAAAGGGATGGTCATGGTCAGTAATACTCAAACTGGCTGTGGTGTCCCCACACCTGAAAAGTGATATAAGACGGACGGATCCATGCTTTCATTTTGTTTACACTAACATTTGACCCTACCATCTGAATCCTTCAACAAAAATTGAAACTCAACAAACCAGCCATGTTTGATGTTTTTTCTGTCTTCTGTTGTCCAGTTTTGGTGAGACCGTGTGACTTGTGGAGGCACCCAGTGTGGTCTTCTGCTGCTGTAGCCCATTTGCTAGATTTAATGTGTTATGCATTGAGAGGTATTCATTGCATACCTTGGTTGTAACAAGTGTTCATTTGAGTTACTGTTACCTTGCTATCACTTTAAAGCAGTCAAAAGGCATCAACAAAGCATTTTCTCTCAGAGAACTACTGCTCACTGGTTTTGACCATGTGGACATGCATAAATGCATTGAACTGATACTTGCATTAATGAGCAGTTGAAAAGATGTACATAATGAAGTGGTGCTATAGATATATTTTGTTTCTCTCCATGTAGAACATGCAGAATTGGAAATAGATTACATTAAGTTTTTAAAAAACCGAGATGACAACACTAAGGGTATTCCACAAATCAGTGAGGGGCTGTGTCCATCTTTTGTATAGTGCCTATGGTTACCACAACACCATGTTTCTTTTTTTATGTTTTACATGCAGTTATTTCTGTGACAGCATTCTCCTCCTAACCAGCTACTTGCCTAAATGTGTAACTAAAGATGAAGTAAAACTGCTTGACTAACCAAATCAAGATTAAAAAAAGTAAGAACTATGTGATAAATATCTGACAAAATAGCAGCATAACAGGGGCAATAGTCCACAGTGTGAGAGTCCTGTTCTTGCCTTGCTTTGAGCCGCCATTACACAAGCGCCATGCAATCTGAGTATGGAGATTCTGCTCATGTCACCAACAGGTAATTTGGTAAAGCTTGAAAATGGCATTCAGCTGGTATTGTTGGCATGATAATACACATATAATTTCAACACATTATGTCTCGCAACCATGTAATAAATTGTCACAAGGTCGCTGTCATTGCATGTAAATATGTCAGTTCAAACTGAACCGAATTCAGTCGTAGCTTCAGCTGAAATGTCAGAGATACATTCTGGAGGCGTAATATATTTAATAAACAGATACAACTAAACTAGATTTAGCCCCTGGCATCAGTGTAGAAGCTTGGTGTGATGGGTGCTAAAAGAATTAAAAGGATAAGGATAAAAAATTGTTACATATTGCACATGTTCCCTTATAGTCCTTCTTAACGTTTCCATGCCTCTCTCCATGTTTCTCTGCAGAGGGCCCACCAGACCTCAACAAGAACGGCAACATTTTGATCCAGTGGCTGTCACGCCCCAACCCCAACTTCCCGAAGATCTCCTCACGTAAAACCTCCCTCTATAGTTCCCAGCCTGGCCTCCACAGCAGCAGCTGCAGCTGCATGTCTGTCCTCTGCTGGGCCCTGCCCATTTCTGTCCTCCTGTCCCTGCAGGGCCGGCCCCGGCTGGCCCCCTGACCCGCCCCCCGCCCCAAGCCTTGTGCCTGTGCCACGCCCGTGAGCGAGCGGCAAAAGCTTTCGCTTCTCTTTTGGGTGGGGGGGGATGTTGTCTCTCTCTCTCTCTGTGTCTGAGACGGCTCTGACTGGGGGAGGTCTCTGGCTCCTGCGTGTGCTAGTTGGTTCTCTCTTGCTCTGTCTCTCTCTCTCTCTCTCTCTAACTCTCTCTCTCTCTCTATCTCCTTTGTGGAGCATTGTGTTGTAACCGCTGGCCAGTCGAAAACTCAAAAGATCAACAAAAAATTTGATGTGAAAAGGATTTCGTAGTGGCAAGGCGAACAGGTTTTCATTGGCATCTCCTGAGATGTGTCGAAGAGCCGTTCACGTGCGAGGGGACCCCCCCCCCTCTGCATTCGGCGGCCGTGATTTGCGCGAGCTAGCTGCGTGCTATCATGCAGCTGCGCTTTTTTCTTTTTGTAGCGCATTGTCAATGTGGGGGAGAAACAGGTGTCAAAATAAACAGAAAAGGTATAAATATCTATATAGAAAAAATATATATATATACATATATATATAATATGAAAGCTTTACTGTGAATGTGATCTGAGGACATCTTTGCTAAAGTGCTCATCTGACATATTGGTTCCATTTGGGGATGAGAGTGGTGTCTCATCCCACGTTCCATTCTCAGATTGACAGGAACTCAGCACAGGGGCAGGAAGTGAAGTCAGTAAACCTTTTGATTTTTGTGGGAGGGTCTTCTGAGGTGACGACTCAAAAAAAAAAAAAAAGAAAAGAAAAGAAAAAAGAAGAAAGAAAAAAAAAAACAGGGTAGTTTGACCAATTGAGGTTACTTCCCATTTCACCTCATCATCAGCCATCCTCTCTTTGACTGTTATACAAAAGTTCAATAAATGCAGCTTATTTGTGCTTGCAGACTTTAAACAAATACATCTATAAATATATTTGTATTTATATATAACTATAAATATAAATCTATATGAGTAACAATAATATTAATAATGTTTTACCATGAATAAGCTGTAGCTTATTTGCCTAAAATCTTTGGACTGCTATTGATCGCTTAGATCCTTGACTGTTATGTGTATTTTTTTATTGATTTTACATGAATACAGATGAATATTTAATAAAGGTAAAGTGTTTTGGGGGAAAGGGTTAGACCTATATTATGCAGGACTTGGTCAGTTATTTGCCTCTCCATTTTCTCAGATGGATCAGTGGTTTACTGTTGCTTCTCGTTTTCTTTACGGCCAGGATCACGTTTTGTCATGCACATTTGCGTCCATCACCTGTGTGTTTGTATCGATCTGTGCGCGAGTGCACTGGTGTGTGTGTGTGGATGTGGGTGCGCGTCTTTGTGCATGTGTGTTTGGGAGGATGTACGCGTTAGATGAATGAGCGTCCTTAATCGTTGTGTGATTGTGTATGTGTCTGTGTGTGTGCGCGTGCATGTGTGTGTGTGTGTATATGTGTGTGTGAGAGGGTGCTTCATCATTTGGGCTTTTACACATTGCGATCAGATACAGAAATACCTCATAAACTTTGATTTTAGAGCGTCCGATGATCTCATTTTATTTTGGTGAACATTGAAAACATGAACAATGCCTTATCTTGGATTGAATGTAATGGCATTTATCTGTGAAAGAGATGGCTTTACTCATTCAAAGTTTCACTCGGAATAGAGGCAGCTTCAAACCAACGTAACAAACTCACACCCGCCAACCATCAAACCTACCAAGATGATGTTGGACCAATGTCCGACTACTGGGAAGGGTTTCCAAGGGCCTAGGGTATTGACACATGTGGCATCTAGAAAAAAGAAAAAAGAAAAAGAAAAAAGAAAGAAAAAAACACTTCAGACTTGTCATTGTATTGTGAACACATATTTCTGTTGTGACTATGTAGCGAGCTATCCAAGGTTTCCTTCTGCTGGAGTTGGACTGTATGAGACCAAGCCAGACCTAGCAGTGCGATACTGTATATAACATTGGTGTTGACTGTATTTAATAATGTTCATGACTGTTATCTTCTTCTATAATATTCTATACTATGGGTAACTGTTTCGTGGCTTCACTGGCCTGCTGCGTGGGGCTGGCTAACGTTTGGCTAACGTTGAAGAAACATTCAGATGGACTACGTGCACTGCGTCTATATGCACTTTGATTTATCAGGGAAATTTTATTAATGTTTTGTAAATGTTTCATATGACACTTAATGTGCCATTCCAGTTTTTACATCATCATGAAAATTATGTATTTTATTTAAGCAGCAAATATCATTTATGTATTTCATCTTTGTTTGTTTTCTTTTGTTTTCTTTTTCTTCTTCAATCGATAAACAGATTGACTGGTTGATTTCCAAGTAATCAAGTGTTTTACCAAAGTGACTGTGAACTTGTAACTTTCGATACAGTTGAATTATTTTTCTTAAGAAAAAAAATATATCTATATATTGAGAGGGGAGGGCGGGGCGTACATCTCATTGTTTCAGTTCCTGTCATTCTCAAAAGCAAAGTTGTATCAATAAAAATCGTTTTAAAAAGTGTGATCTTTCTCCTAATGGGAATGTTCACTGGTTAGATTTTTTTTTGTCAGATTGGTATATACTGCAATACGAAAGTAGTTATTTTTGACTGGCATGGTACAAAAAGGGTACAAGTCAAGTGGTAGACTTAATATTGAACTGAAAATGTTGCACGTCTGAAAAAAAATGAAGAAACACATGAGCAGAAGCCAGAATTAGATGAAGAATCCTGATCTCTTATAGGTGCAACACAAGACTGGCGACCCTTATTTTCCCATTTCAGTTGCTCTGGATGAATCTCATCAATGCTCTTGATGTGTGGATTTTTCTCCTTTTTTCTCCTTCCTGCATCCTCTGCTAGTGGTCTGGCTTTACTACTGTACTTCTAACAGCGTGAAACCAACACGCACTTTCACTCACATGTGCATGGATTTATGTATGTGTAACTTGAGAGTAATGCCAATTTGTAACAATATAGTTTTGTTCACGTTCTTTAGCATAGAGCAATCTCACACACACAAATTATCGTAGCTTCTACCTCTCTGTTCAGCTTTCTGTTTTTTTGTTTACAGGCCGTTGTCATGGAGACCGGTCTGTCTTCTGTCGCATGGAGGTGCTGAAGCGCTACTGCTCTCTACCGGACTACCAGCGCATATGCTGCGAATCCTGCAGCAATGTCCCTAACATAGTGCCTGTCCCCAGCTCCACCCCCAGAGCCACATCCATCACAGTTACATCTCCTCCAACCACAAGCATCCCAAGCTCTGGCTTCACCACCTTACAACCCTCCAAAGCTGTCATCACATCAGTTTCTACCATTAGTTCAGCGTCTACTGCTCATCCTCCTACATCTACCCCTACAGCTCCTCATGCCACCCCACTGAGTACCACAGAAATGATTACCATTCATTCACCGGCTACCACCAGGGCCCCTGTTTACCCTACAACTTCTTCCATAGCAATCACCAGGGAGTCCACAACCATTCGCAGTGTTACTACATACCCTCTGCCTTTGCCTCTTCCAGACATAAACAACAGCACTGAAAGTCTGGTGCACACATCTACAAATACACCAGTAACATTTGGTTTGAAAACGGACACAACAACAACCACTCTGCCAATGACACAGCCAGCAGAAAACAGTAAAAAGACAGACATCCTACAAAACTCCAAGCCTAAGAAGACTATTCCGCCAAAGAAAACCTTGAAAAAGACGAGTCCAACAGAGCAGAATCCAAAAAAGAATACGACCCCGAAAAGCATTCCAGGAAAACCCTCTATACCAAAGCTCAATCCCAATAAGAAGTCATACAGTACTCCAAAAAAGGTTACCTCGGGAAACACTTCTCCGAAAAAGACTACTCCATCGAGCACTACTCCGAAAAAGACTACTCCATCGAGCACTACTCCGAAAAAGACTACTCCATCGAGCACTACTCCGAAAAAGACTACTCCATCGGGCACTACTCCGAAAAAGACTACTCCATCGGGCACTACTCCGAAAAAGACTACTCCATCAAGCACTACTCCGAAAAAGATTACTCCATCAAACAATGCTCCCAAAAAGACTACTCCAGTAAAAACTACTCTTAAAAAGACTACTCCATCGAGCACTACTCCGAAAAAGACTACTCCATCAAAATCTTCTCCCAAAAAGATTATCCCATCAAACAATACTCCCAAAAAGACTACTCCATCAAACGCTACCCTCAAAAAGATTATTCCTGCTATCACGTCTCCAAAAAAGACTACTCCACCAAACACTACTCCAGTAAAAAAGACTACTTCATCAAGCACTGCTCCCAAAAAGGCAACTTCAGCAAATAAACCCCCCAAAAAGACTCCAGGGGAAAAAATTAAACCTTCCCCTAAAAAAGATGCTCCACCAAAGTCCAATACTCAAAAGAAAACTGAACCAAAGATAAAAGTTACAAAGCACGAGCCACCAAAGAACCCAAAACCAGCACCCAAAAATGGCTTAAACTCACAGGCAAAAGTTAATCAGAATATATTTAAGGTGGTAAAGACTTTTCCAAAAAAGAAAAAACATCATTACACAACTACTCCTCCTTCAACCAAGCAACCACCAACAGAGGACTTTTTTTCTACTATTTCTTCCAGCATTACCTGTACAACAATAAACCTCCTTTTCCCTGAGTCAAAAATCAATGTGCCATACAACATTAATAACATAGAAGTTACAAATGAAACTCCATGGTGGTACCATGACAGCACAAATACTGGACCAACAACACTCAGTACTTTCGATGATCTCGTAATTCCCACTGAAAATAGTTTGGTCAAGGATGTCACAATGCCCAGGGAAGCCGTGCCTTACATAGATGTCCCAGTGACTAAAAGCGTTGACGTTTCAGTTACCAGTAGCAACAATCGTGATGGTGGTGACATCACAGTGTCTTACGCTAAAAGTGGCACAAACGTATTAACAAAGCCCAAGGTTAACAAGAGTAAATTTAAGGTGGTAAAGACTTATCCAAAAAAGAAAACACATTATTACATAACTACTTTCCCTCCATATTCAAGTGGGGAGCACCCAATACAGGATCTTTCTTCTACTATTTCTTCAAGCATTACTGGTACAGCAATAATCTCCCTTTTCCCTAAATCAAGAATCAATGCCCCATATGTCAGTAATAGCATGGAAGCTACAGATCAAACTCAATCGTGGTATCAAGACAGTGCAAATGCTGGAACAACAACACTAAGTACTTTTGATGATCTCGTAATACCAACTGAAAACAGTTTTGTCGAGGATATCACAACGCCCAATAAAGCCATGCCTTACATCACTGTGCCAGTGACTAAAAGCGTCGATGTTTCAGTCCCCAGTGATCCCAGTCACAATCCCAGTAGTGATGCCATTACAGTGTCCTATAGCAAAAGTGGCGTAAACTCAAAAGCCAAAGTTGATAAGAGTAGATTTAAGGTGGCAAAGACTTATCCAAAGAAGAAAACACGTTATTACACAACTACTCTCCCTCCTTCTTCAGAAGACAATGGTAGCAATCCCAGTGGTGATGACATCACCGTGTCCTACAGAAATGTGGGCGTGGTCAGTAACACCATGGTGATAGAGGACAGCCTCACCATGGCATTCCCAATCATAAATGGAGATGACATGACAGAGCTAAGCTCTTCACCCTGGCTGGATCAGGCGGAGTACATCCCTGCGAATATACCTGTTGACACAACATCTTCAAACACAGGTACTGCCTCACCTCCCACCACAGGTACAAAGACAAACCCAACAACCCTCACCACCACCATCTCCACTCTAAGGCCTCCACGAAGCGCTGAGAAAAACAGTGAAGACAACTCGATCGATGGTTTTTACAGCAGGGTCATCAACTCGGAGAGCGACATCTCTCAGAACAACTTGATCCCAAAGCATCGGATCAACCTTAGAGAAAGAACCAGGAACAAACGCATTCAGGAGCTCCTAGAGGAGAAGCGAAACTTTCTCTTGAGGATGAAGAGAGGCCACGCAGTACAATAAACCAAGCCTTATCATTTCTCTTATAGAGATGAACACTTTGTCTGAAAACACCGCTTATCTGCCGCAATGCTTTCTAATGGGTAGTTCCACCAAAAAAAGAAAGAAAAAAAAGCTGTCATATCAGTCAAATGTTTGCACAGTTGCTTTGAGTAAAGCCCTTTAGGGTACCGATTGCTGCAAATCGCCTTGCCTGTGCACACACAATAAAGAGAAGCAGAAGGAATTTAAAAAAAAATGTACATCCAGGATTACAGCACTTTACAAAGGTCGGCTTTTATTTCCCTAAACCGCCCTTTGTTTTGCTTAAGAATTCAGTGATAGTGTAGATTTTAAAAAATGACAGTGGTACTGACACTCGCACGGCAACAAAATCTACCACCTAGAATCCAAATTTTCATCCCATTTCAGATTACAGCCCAGGACTGCAGTTTGCACAGTACAAATATGAATACATTTCAGTTGAGTGGCCAATACGCAAAGCAGACATTTAGCTTCTATTTCACTTAACTGCAAACTAAATTGCAAAAGTTTACACTGGTTGGATTCTGTTGTCATTTCCAGAGCAGTTACTTATCTCTCAGGAAGTAAAGCTACAGTATGACAGTTTGATGAGGGACATTGCCAAATACTTGGTGCTTAAATAGTAAATTATAATATGTCATTAAGGTAAGCAGTACAAAAAAATAATCAGAGAAAAAGAAAAAATACACATTTTTATTAAAACATTTTTACATTCAAGGGTGCTTTGTTTGTCACTGCTGCTAAAAGCAATGTCCCTCATGCATTTATTTCTATAGGAAAACTACAAAAATTTAAAAGGAAAGTATGCAAGGCTTTTTATGGTATCTCTATCCAAAGAAAAACTTTGAAGGCCAGTTTGTTATCTTTATTTTTTTTTGTATAAAAGGTTTTGTTTGTGCATTTAATGTGCGGCAACTGCATCTACAAGTCTTCTTGTACAATACATGTATATATGAAACAGAAGTTAATGTTTACTATTTATTAAAGACTAAGTGCCTGTGGTATTTTGCAATCACAAGCGTGATTTTTGTTATTGTGGCACATGACAATACGGACACACAAACCAGTCATGGACTCAGCTATTTGTGAGTAGCCATCAGAATTATTACAAGCTGTCCTTTAATCTATTAATATTCCTTTTTGAAATTGCAATACCTGGCACCAGGTACACATACAAAACATAGAAGGTAATTCCTCTCAACATTGCACTAACATTTCTCTTGCTTTTCTTTATGACAACAAAATCTGATAATGTTAGGGCCAGGATTTTTTGATGTAATGTTATTCCATCCCAAAAGGCTGATTCTGTTCATCTGGACGTAGCGTTTTCAGTGGGAGAAACATTTCGTCACTCATCCAAGTGACTTCTTCAGTCTCAGCTGACTGCAGGTTTCCCCAATCTTATAAACAGTACATTTGCACAATAACTGAAACTAGCACAACTGAATGAGCAATGGGCTGTGAGGTCAGTTCCTTG